TGCTTAATGCTCTTAATTACAGACTGCTGGGAAGATTATGCAGCAAAGTAACATGGAATGATCTGTTTTCTGTGCTGCTGTGTAGCAGCAATCTGTGGGAGGTGCTGTCTGTAATTGTTAGGGAATTGCATCAAGCACTGGCTGAACTATTAGTCTGGTTTGCTAATGTCTAGGAGCAGGATGTTTCTCTGTTGTCTTCATCATTTCATATAAATACCAGGCTCAAATCAGAAGACCCTTGTGCAGGTTATTACCTGCAGATGGTGGCCAGCCCCACAGCTGTGTGTGGCTCCTTACTTTGCTTTACTTTCCGTGGGATGCATGGCTTTGACACAGATAGAAGCCTTTTAGAAAGCTCCCCCAGATATGACAGAAAAAGGAGGTCTTTCAGCCAAAGGACCATTCTGCGTAGAGGATTTCACAAGAGGGCATCTGAACCTGCGGGGAAGAGCTTTTCAGTCATCTCACCTTTGGAATTGGTCTCTCCTTCACCTCCACTCACAGTTTGCTCCATCAGCCATATCACTCTCTTACGACAGCAGCCCTTCACCATCCTCTCCCCCTGGCTTTCCACCTTCTCCCAGTTTCCTTCTCCTGTTAGTCATGCTTGTCTCCTTTGTGGTCCCATCTGCTTTGCTCCTTCACCTTTGCTGCCCTGCACTCACTCGCTGCTTCTTTTAGCAATATAATGAAATGCAGATAAAAGAAAGTGTATGTTGCATGGCATCAAACCAATGCTTTGATCATGGAGTCTCTCTTCTGTTCCTACCCACAGTGGAAATCTGTCTGTGTCATAAGCTGTTCCACTGGTTTAATTAAAAGCAGCAGTGTCAGAACTGGATACCCCAGTTGCTTTTTTCTTTCTCTCTCTCTCTTTGCCTGTTGCTATTGTTTTCTCCCTTCCAGTTATAAATTCATAAGGGCAGGGGCTCTGGCATACATAATTTGAAAAACAACAGCAGACCATACGACAAACCTGGGCATTACAGAGCAGGTTCTTGCATGGTGGACTCGAGCTGTGTGGAGAAGCAGCCCTCTGTTGTCCTCCTGCTCAAAGTGGCCAGTGACTTTTCCTCTTTTCTGGCGTGTTATTATTTTCCTCTGTCCCTGTGGTCCTGAAAGCACCTGAGAAATCAGTCACTTTCTAGATTGAATTTACTTCAGAAGCTGAATGTTTTCCAAAGATTAATTACTGGCCTGAGTCTCCAGTGGGCATCGCTTTCCATTCGTTTGGCTGCTGTGGCTCTGAAGATCCAAATTGCCTCAACATATACATCAATTATGATCCCAGTTGTGAGTCACCAGAGCTGACTTGGCTTGTATCATGGGTGTTTTTTTCATGCAGCACAATTTAAAAATGCGTTCTTTTCTAACAGTGGAGCTCGGGTAAACTCCTACACTAGAACAGCACAAGGGTTCCTCTGCTGTACCACAGAGTAAATTTTGTATTTCTGAAATCAGAGGGAATACATCACTTGTTCCTTTGCAGTCACCTTAGGATAAACCAAGCGGTGAGAGGGATGGTTAACTGAGGTATTTACTTCAGGGTGCTATGGGCACAAAAAAGACTTAGTGCCTCTGAGCAGGCCCACGTGAGGCCTTTTTCATGCTCCTGTGCATTTAAGCATGGGGATGGGACTGCTCAGGATCAGCTAGACTTGCAAGCATAGTCAGAACCCTGTAAGCTTAGATAAGTACTTTTTCATTTTACTGTCCCCTAATCATTTTATAAAACAGCCATACCTTTTCCATACTGTGTGCTAAATTTACTAAAAAATATGTATATATACTTTTTTTCTTTTTTCTTTTCTTTTTTTTTTTTTTCCCTTTGCATATGTTATATATGTATGTTATATATGTATGTTGTGTTTTCTGGATCTCCTAGGTGCTGAGCCTTTGAAGTTATTAGTGCAAAAATCCCAGACAACCTATTTCAACTTACATCAGATAGATACTATATCAGTCTTATATCAGTCTTTTAATTCATGTACAGCTGAGAGAAGATAGAATAGGTAGGTAGATGCTTTTCTAGTTAATGCTGTTCTCCCCTCACTGTTCCTAAACCAAAGAGCTGAGTATAACTTTTGTTACATACAACTGTTTCAATAGACTTATGAGAACACAGGTTAACATTAAAAGAATATTTAATATTAACACTTGAGAATTATCATCAGCAAATTTTTCTGCATCCAACATGATTTTTAGAAAGATCAATAAGTTATAGTTTTGCATCCACAAGTATTTTTTTCTTTACATTTCACATACTGATAATTTTGGCTACTTAGTATGGTGCCCTAATAAAAGTACACTTTCTTCTAGCCACAACTTTTTTATTTTGATGCTTTTAATTTTCTTTGCAATTTGATTTGGAATTTCTATTGGAATTTGAAGTGTATTTAAACTTTGAATATTGGACTTTGAATTGCACCAAGCAATTAGGGAATTGAGACCTCTTCTTTGTTTTGTTTTCCACCTTCTTGCTAAGTATTCTGAAGAGGGCATCTCTTTCCCAGTTTCAATTTAAAAAGATGTAAGGGATAAAAAAAGAGAGAATTAAGTCTGATTTTCACAAACAGGTCAGTCTGGAGAAGGAGAGTCTGTTAAAACCTGGTCTGTGTTCCCAGTGTAGTTTTAGCTGTTTTGGTTATCTGTCAGTAATGGAAAGAGAGGAAGCAGAGAAGATGTATTGGATGTAATGTGTTTGGGCCTTAGAAATGAAGGTCTCTAATTTTGTCAATGCCTTAATCAGGCCATAGCAGTGATACCTCATCTTTAGCTTTTAGCTAGCTACAGAGTTATGTGGCTCTGTTATACCTGAATCAGTGTGTATTGTTTTTGTCATGGCTGTGTGTCAAATGAGTGAGCACAGTAGGAGTTGTCCAAGTTGCTTTGCTGCTTGAACCCATTTTCATCATTGCTTTTCTCATGTGTTATCAACTCTGCTCCTCTGACTGCTCCTGCAGCTTGAGAAAATGGCAGGCAGTAAAACTACCTGTCTTGTCTGACACTGCTAGGAAAAAACATGACAGCCAGAGTTTATTTCATGTGTGTGTGTCTCTGTTACATCTCCTGTGAGTTGCTTTTTCAGTTTTGTACATTTTGCTGGCCCTCCTAACTCTGAAAGCATGTATGTTGTGATATTTATAGCAGTATTAACTGTGATTTAGCTATAAAAAAACAGTCCTTTTCCAGATAAATAATTGGTCTGCTCTATTGTTTAACTGGATGCATCCTATATCACACATTTATTTTATTTTTAAGGCATCTGTAAGCATCAGCAATTAAACTCCAAGCGTTAATTTCATCAGACTTGGTAGCACCTACAGCTTTTATTACAAATATTTGTTGAGTAAAACTATTTCCACTGTTAATAGAGGTGGATAGGTGCTGAGGCAGTTGTGCCACATCTTAAAAGACAGAGAAAATAACAATTTTTTATTTCTTACTGTTGTTGCTTTCATTAAAGCAATCTGCTCCCACTGGAATGTCTAAGTCATTTTAATACTTGCAAAAGGAATATTTCCTTATTACAACGTAAATCAACTCTGAGCACATCTTTGATTACAAACACAACTAAGATGCTTAAAAACAAAACTCAATGCAAGTCGAATCTTGTAGTGTTACGTTTTGTGTGGGAGAGTCAGAAACAGGGGACCAAACTTTATTCCCAACTTTGCCTGTGGCTTGAAGCCAGAACCGCTCCTTGTGCTGCAGATAACTGTGTCCAAGCTACCTGGGCTGGTAGTAGGACATCAAGGTCTGAGATTTTGCGGTCTGAGAATCTACTTTGAGATACTGGACCATAAGGGCAGGTTTGGAGAATGAGAGGGATGGTAAATCTGCCATGTTTGCACACCAGCTCATGTTCCTGCTTGATGTTTATCAAGCTTTCAGTGAACTTGAAGTTCAAGCACTGCAGACTTGCAGAAATTGCAAGCAGGCATTCAAATCCAAAGGCTTCTCTGCCTCATTGGCTAGTTCTGTTCATTTTTATTAACTGATACGCCTAAATTTATCAGATCTTCCCTTTTGAAACAGTTTTTTTTTTTTTTTTTTTTTTTTTACCACAATTAATCTATTTTATTTATCTTTTACTTAAAATTTTGAATAGCGAGCTCCAAAATTATTTTTGTGATGATCCTTCTAAACATCCTCATTACTTACTGCAAGTAAAGGCATCAAACACTACCACCTCCTGTAGGCTATGGCTTTTGATGGGGGAATTAAAACTTGGCAGCCATTGCAGAGTGGAGTATCTGGGTCCTAGCACCCAGATGGTGGCAACTGGACCTGCTGGCCATCAAGTTCTTGTCTGCTATCTTCCCATAATGGAGCCATAAGTTCAAGTGCTGCTGTAGTGAGGAGAGCAACGAGCTGGGATCTGTGTATCTGCTCCCTTGTGTTCATATGTATTCTCCAACAGATATAATTAAAAACCTAATTGCAGAGATTCAAGAGGGAAAAGACATATTAGATAATATTGTTCATTGCCTTGGAGCCACAACAAGATTGTTTCTTGTAAAATAGCTCACTGACTTCAGGGGAAGTTGAGGTCTATAAGCAACACGCAGGCTCAGGCTTTTATTGAAGAGCTGCAAGGCTTGTATATACATCTTTATTAAAGCCTTTATTAAAAAAAAAAAAAAAGGCATTTCTATGCCCATGTGCTCTTGCAGATTTCACTAGTGTTACCTTATTTATCTGAGATAAAAGCAGGTTTATTAGTTTTGTGTGCTCAAAGGGAAGCAAGAAACAACAACAAAAATAATAATAATAAAAAAGAAATTGGAAATGAAGCAATACATGACCTTATTAGCTCAGTAGAAGACTTCAAGTGGCTTGGAGTTTCACCCAAAGCCTCATTATCTATCTATCTATTTATTTATTTATTTTTCTTCCCAGCTTATTTCACAGTGATGCAGTATCTGTAAAAAGGGACCTTGTCCATATTATTTTTAATTTTAAAGAGGTGATGTGTACTCAATATCTCAATTTTCAGGGTAAATGATTCTTCCCAGTCATGACCAACATGGAGTCCCAAGCTCTTCTGACTGTTGTAGTAATCAAGGAACAATGGACACCGTCTGCCTTCTGAAAAATCATTCAGCTAAGTTCACTAAATGATGTTTTTTTCTCTTTTTATTATGCTTCAAATCTTCAGGAAATACACTTTGATTTCTTTTGTTAGCCACAGTATAAGCTGCAATCATATATTGTGCTGTTTTAGCAATATAAATTGTTGTGCAGGTCATCCTAGATTTTGTTGGTGTGGAACTGTGCTGAGACTGTCGTATTCTGTCATACCAGGCTGAAAAATACATTCAAAATGCTGAGTCCTGGCAGTCCCAGGTGGTCTTTCCAGATGCTGCTTCCACATCTGCCCACTCTGGGGTAGTAGAGATTTGCTGACTGCCACACCACCTTAGACTGCAGCATCACGATGGTGCTGAAATCTCTATATGGCCATAGCAGTCAATCTCTGGACTATATAGTGAAGTACTCTTTTCTCTGGGTGGAATTGCAACAACTTACTTCCATCTCATTACTAGATCAAGCCAGAAATCTGAAAGAAAGTTTGTCTCTCCATGAGTATTATTGTGGCTGGGATCCTCAGCACAAGGCCAGTTTTCAGGTTTAGTAGTGTGGTCAAATGCTGCCTCTAACAGGTCACAGTGAGACTGCCTCTGAAACTAGCAGGAGATAGACCTGGTACTCCTCTCCTTTCTGACTACAGGTGATGCAAAGTCGTATGGGCTCTCTCTAGCTCCTTTGTAGAGCAGGACCAAAGGAGACCTGTGGATCCCCTATGTAGTTGGACTTGATTTCAAGTTGAGGTAGAGGCTTTGACTGCCAGTGGAGAGAGTTCATGTGAATCAGCAGCCTATAACTCATATTAAGAAGCTTCCTTTTTTAATCATTGCAGTTTGATATGAAAGTTAAAATAACCACTGCTGCTGTGAGGGACAGCAAAGGACAACACCAGAAATGGTTTGGTGCTTGCGAACACTTAATCTGTTATATGTCAAAGGTGAGTTAAGGCTCAGAAATCAAGTTTATTAACTTTGCATGATTAACTTATTAACTGGATCAGTTCCTGCAACCTGAAAGACCAAAAATATCACAATGAAGCAAGGTTTCATGACCTCTATAATTTGTTGCCACTGCATGAAATTAATAACCCTGGTATATGTACAACATTAGAATTAGCAAGAATTTTGTTCCTTAATCTTTTCAGTATCTTAAACTTCTTAACTAATTAGAGTGTCTTGATGATTTAAATCCATTTCCAAGTTGTGTACAAAAGTAGGGATTAAAAAATGCAGCTATTTAAAGTAATTTTAGACTAAGCAAAATCTCTTTGTGACAATCTATATTGCAATGGCCAAGTGAGTGTATTATAAAGTCACCCAAAACTTTTTGAAAGCAGTGCCAGTATCCACTGGAATTTTTCAGCTTGCTTCAGTAGTCTTTGTGAAATGTATCTTGAAAAAGTTATTCCTTTATTCTGAAAACTAGTACAATGGCTAATATGTTACTTAGCTTGTAGGGCTTTCACTTGTAAATATTTTGAAGAAAATTCTCCTCTCTGTGATGACTGTGGTATGTTGAGTTGTGTCAGCTGGGAGTCTGGGCTGTAAGGTTCCTGGGTACTTGCATAAGAGACGTCTTCACAGATGATGGGATGAAAAAGCAGAACTCCCAGATGTCACAATACCAACAGGCCCAAATTAGAAATGTTCTGCCATATCTTAGTGACACTAAAAGCATTAGAACTAACACTTATTTGTTTCAAGACAGGAAAAACTCTGACAATTTCTAATGAGTCCTACTGGTTTCAAAATTTCTTCTGTTCAACTGGGCACACTGGAAAAACAAAAACTGACATTGGCCTTGTAAGGGTTATAGTAAGTTTCTATATTGAGGTTGGCTTAGGACAGACACTAACTAAAGTTAGTGACAAGTTCTGAGAAGCAAGACAGTTTCAAGTGAATTCAACAGTGTTGTGTAGGATTAGATAGATGTGTAAGTTTTCAGATCTGTTGTCAACCTTTTCTTCTCTATGAAATATAATGCTGCAAGAAACATAATGACAATGGCTGCATACTTCTATGTCAACCAAGAAAAGATTGGATTGAGCCTGCTGTAGTGATAGAAACCACAATGTTGCCCTCTGAGGATGCTCTGGGAAGTCCTTGAGGCTGCAGTCTCCTCTCAGTGTGTTTGCTACTTGTTCCTGTTACACTTCTGTCAGGTTGGAAAATCTCTGTTGTAAACTCTGTTCATGCCAGCTGGTGCTTCAGACTATACATCCCAAAGCAGGTCCAAGTCTAGCATTACTGCTTAGAGCTTAACTATGCTCTTAAAGCTTAACATGAACGCAGATGGACCACAAATAATTCAGGCTAAGTTTTATTTCTGAAATGCTGTCTTTTGGACTGCCCCAGTAACTAAACAATAGTATGAAGAGAATTAATTTTAGGTCCAAGTAGCTTAAATAATTGAAGAAATTCTACTAGAAAGAGATCAGAGTAGAGCCTTTTGGGAAATTGCCTTAAAAATAATTTGCAAACCATGTAGTAGCATGTCTTCTAGGTACTCTAAGGTGCCAAAATCCTGCCAATGCAACACCCCACTTCTGCCCCCTGTATGGTGCACAGTTGGTAGGAAGGGTTGACTGGGGCACAGCTTAATCAGATTACATGACTCACATCAAGAGCTGAGACACCTTTCTTAACTAATCACAGAACAGCCTGTCTATTACAAACAATACCTAAAAGAAAGAGCTTGAGTCTTTAAGTGCTACTATAGTTGTTAGTATAGTGTAGTATAGTTAGTATAGTATAGCTACTATAATTGTTACCAATAATAATAAAAGGAAGTCTTTTATAAGTAATGAGTGTATGAGAGCAAGATTGTAAAGTGAAAATCAGTAGGCAAACCCAACTACAACTGACTGCCAGATGCACACTATACATGTAATTTACAGTCTCCAGGATTTGTTTACATATTTAGCAGCTTATGTTGACTTTTAGGTAAATATATACACACAAACATGTACAAATATACATATATTCATTTAGAACTACAGGGACACTTACATTATGTAATGCCAAGATATTCATGTGCTACTAACCAAATTCTAAAACTCTGTCTACTGCAAAACTACTGAGGAAAACAAAGTCTGTGAGAATTGTGAGGAACTGGGACCTTTCTTCTGAGTCATGTCTAAGAGAAAACCTGCAGATGTGGTGAGATTAGTCTTGTATATAATTTAGGATTTTCAGATCTAGGTTTTGTTGCTGTTATTCTGCATCTAAATGAAAAATCAGAAATACAACATTAAAAAAATATATATATATATATATATATATACGATTTTTGGAAAGCCAGAGAGATCTCTGAAGTACCAGGTTTACAAATGAGACACTGGGCTTGTTGCATGCCTGCCATGCTAGCTAGTCAATGTTTTTTCACTTTCACTAATGTGTTACACTGAAGATCTGCTGAAGACCTAAGCAGGCCAAGGAGGTGGGAACCTCAGAGCCTATGAGATTTGCAGCCAGGAAGCCAAAGATTCTAAAAGTAAGTATGTTTTTGCCTTAAGCTATAAGCCGTTTTCTGTTATGCAGATCTGGCAGGGTTAAGATAAAGCTTGAATACTTTCATTCCTCCGTGCCCTCTGAAAATGAAGAAATAATTGGATGGAACTAGATTTGAATCCATTACCCTTAGAAGAGTACAAGGATTTGTGCACGTGTTTGTTTTACAGTTAGTTCATACCACCAGTCAGCTTTCTTCCTGACCATGAATTCTTTCAGAAGAATGTATATTGCAGGATTTATTCTGAGCCTCAAGATGCTGGCTGTGAATAGACCATAACAATTCAGAGCTGGCACTGAGACATGCTGCTTCTACCACTTTCTATTTATAGACCTTCAGATTTTCCATAGTATCAGTGGTAAATATTTCACTGCACAATAGTCCAGTGAAACATCCTCATCACTTCCTCCAAAGTCAGAAGGTATTACTTTTATCTTCGTGAAATCTGTTGCTTTATTTAGGAAAATAGTTATCTATTTCTCAATAGGCTGCATAAGCCACTTTACATTTTTGAGGGTTGAATATGTGGGCCTTTACATTTTGATGGCTTTTCAAATGCTGAGAGGAGAAAAAGTTCAACAAACAGTATTCACTTGCAGATCAGATAGTATTGATGTGCCATAGACACAACCCATTTGAATTTAAGAGTTCAGATGGTCAAAGATATGAATGACATTGGTTTTTTTATTTTTATTTTTTAGTGTGTATTCATGGAAGAGATGCTGTTCAATTCCTAATGCATTGAAGTTTTGATTTTGGTTACAGCCACTAAGTACTGCTATGTTATGGCTACTTTCATGTATTCACACCCACTAGAGCCTAACTTTGAAAAATATTCTTACAAGTATTGATTAACTGGCAGGCATAGTCGTTTGCAAGACCCCAAACAGGTAGAACAACTGAGAATAAAGTGTAGGATGTAAGGCAGGCAGAACATGAAGGGAAAAAAAAATATATAAATTTTTTACTAAAGTTTTTACTAGCTCTGTCCACCCACTGAGAATAAAATAAAATGGAGGAGGATCTTCACTTCCAAAATGCTTGACGTGAAGTAAATTAAGGCACTGGAAACTGCAAGATGAGCAATTGCGTTATTAATATATAGGCTCAAGAGAAAAGTATATTAAAAACTGAAGGGACAGTTATGATCAGCTACTGTTATACCTTGCAGAGTGCTGGCTGTAGTGTTTCACAGGACAGTTTCTGCACTGAGTGAGAACTGATTTCAAAATACATGCAATGTTGGTTTGATAGAGAGGCTCGTAGCAATAGTGACTGTCAGCTACTCTCAGTGATCCCATGGCACTGGTATCCTTCTCTAGTCTAACGCTATATCTACACTCGCCCCTCTAGGTAATACCTAATCTAGAGGTGATCTAGGATTGTGGTTTCCAGAAATGGTCAGTCTACAATACCATGGAGCTTGGTGTGAAATCTCAACACCTTGTCAGGAAGCAGGGTAAAGGCTGCAGGAAAACTTTGCAAGTACTATCAATTGTCACAAGCACCTGGATCTCAGTGACCTGTTAATGTTTGTCACTGACCATAGACCTACTGTTAGTAGACTCAGCAGCTACAGTTTAAAGACATATTAAAGCAAATATTCCATATCACTATTGTAATTAGCTTAGCAGCAAAATTGGCTAAGCAAGAGCAGATAACAACAAGGTCATATTTGTGATCAAATTTCTATGCTACCAACCCAAAATGTAAATAAAAATGATTATAAAAAAAAAAAAAAGAAAAGGTCCTCTTTGTCAAAGGGTGGCCAAAGATTAGCTTTCCAGCTCACATAATTTGGTCTAAAGTTACAGGCATGGAAATAATAGGCAGCTGGTTTCATTTGGGAGTCACACGATACAGTTTTTCTGCAGCCTTTTCCCTGCCACAAATTCAGGAGAGCTTTGCATGAAACAGAAATAATACTTGCACTGTGCTTTTGAAGAGATTGTGGGCCAAGCCAAGAGAGCTGGAGTGGAGCAGGAGAGCCAAAGGATAGCACAAAGCAATAATGAAAGCAACATGGGATATCATCTGGCCAGAGAAAGATGAGAACGGTGGTGGGATTTAACGGTTCATTTTGAAATACCCCTTGCAAGGAAAGGAATGTGTTCAGGGATTAGGACAGGGTCCTAGGAATTAGGAAAATTGGGTTTTATTTCTGACCTTGTCACATCGTATCTGTGTGATCTTCTCTCTGTGCCTCAGTTTCCCAGACCACATAAGCACTCACTTTGAAGCTGTTCTGTGGCTTCCTCTGTTGAGGCATTAGCCTCTTCTGGGAACACAGCTGAAAAGCTGAATGAAAGGATGTAATTATTTTTAATTGACTGTTAAATGTTTTGAATTTGAGATTAAAAACTAAAAAGATAAGTAGAGTGAGAGTTCTGAAACAGCCATTGAAGAAATGAGAAGAAACTTCTCTGAATTTCAAATATATTCGTATTTCATTGGGTCCTTTCTGAGCATGTCTAGTTCAAACATCTCTAACAAACACTCTGTAAAGATTGATTTCTGCTAGCAAGCGTGCCAGGAATGGATTTTGTCAGATCCACTGAACACAGATAATGTGGTGTCTGAAGCGATTGCTGCTGTTACTGCTGTCTTCACCTCAGCACTCTGCCAGTTTTAGGGCCTCTCATGGGACTGAGGCCTGTCCTTTAGGTCTGAAGTGGGGAAGAAGAGAGGAGGAGAAAGAAGAGGGGAAACTATTGAAAGATTTTGTGCAGTGGTGTAGCAAAGAGACTCCTGGTTTGGATAACAAAAGTCTCTTTATGAAAGAGATTTCAAAGTAGGTAAAAAAGAAATGAATGGCACCTGGCGAAGATGCCATTAAGGCCTGACAGTCTATGCAAAGGCGTTCCCTAGAGGAAAATGTGTGTACTTCCAGCAACAGAGGATAGTGTCATGCTTTTGAAATGAACCTGAGAGATATTTAGGAGACAGGGTAAAGAATGAAGTTCAAAATAATTTATTCTATGAAGAGAATCCGATTCTAAAAACATGTTTGTGGCTGCTCTGTGTGGTGGCATGCTCAGACTGTGTTCCACTACTGAAGGCCATCCTTGGATTTGTTTTTCAGAGTGAATTTCACCTTAAAAGCCCTACACCCTGAAGACGTTAAGGAAAGCTGATGGAAAGAAGGCCTATTTTTGGTTACTGAGATGAAATGTTAAGAAATATTAGGAAAGGTCTTAGATTAGATTGTTTGCAAAGAACTGAAGAACAAATGAAGTGGTTTCGTAGAATCATACAGTGGTTTGGGTTGGAAAGGACCTTAAAGATCATCTAGCCCAACCCCCTGCCTTGGGCAGGGACACCTCCCACTGGACTAGGTTGCCTGAAGGCTGTGGCCCTGAACACCTCCAGGGCATCCACAGCTTCTATGGGCAACCTGCTCCTGTGCCTCACCACCTTCATAAAGAATTTCTTCCTAATATCTAATTTAAATCCTCCCTCTTTTAAATGAAAACTATAACTACAGGGAGCCACAACTTGCAACACATTCTTTTGTTTGTTTGTTTGTTTGTTTTGTTTTGTTTTGTTCATAGCCATATTTCAGCTTGTGAACAGCTGGGTGAGGGATATGTCCCATTCACACAACCACCACTAGAGGCCACCACAAACCTCGATAAAGAACTGAAAGGCCTCTAATTTATAGCAGAGTGCAAATTTACAAAAAGAAACCAGAGGTAATGCCATAACCTGTGTCCCACATGAGCATATGTTTTATGTCTTCCGTAATGAAAGAAAATGTTGCTGAGCCTATATCAAGCTTGTGTATCCATTAGGTTTTTAATCTTTTTCTAAAGGAAAATATTCACTGGGAAGATGGATTAAGTATGAGAAATATTTTTTCATCACCATAGTGATCTTTACAAGAGTAACACACACAATCTCTGCTTTATGGAAGGGAAATATTGGGTCCAGAACAGTTAAGAGAGCTGCACAGAATATTAGTTATTAATTATTTCTGTAAAAGAATAACCTGCTCTGGACCATAGATTCTTTATAGCATTTTTGTTCACTATGCTCAGATATCAGATGTTATAATGAAGAAAACGGACCACACTCTTAAAATTCAGTATTTACTTAATACAGTAATATTTAATACAGCCTTGCACTGAAGCGTTGTCTCTTCTAGACCTGACTGCTGACACCACTGTAAATAAACCATGTTTACTTCATTTCCCAATATTCCATGCACTTGCAAACCACAGAACCCTGTAACACTGCAACTGTATGATCAAAAAGGCTTCTATAGCATCTTCCATGGATGAGTGCGGGAATTTGACTCAGGCATAATAAAAAGCATAATTAATCAAAATCTAACCTGGAAATGTAACTTAAGGAGATGCCCATTTCATCTTTTCCCCTCATTTAGGAACGTGTCCAATGTAACATATTTTGCTGTGTCTTGGTTAACAGGAAATGGAATATTTTCAAATTAGTGATAAATTATTTCATATAAAGTTGGCTTTTCTCCTTAGAAAGCCTTCTGTCTACCACTTTTACCAACAAATATTGGCAGTAGCTACCTGAAGTTGTCAAGTCAGCCATCCGCTTTGCCTTGCAATGTGTCCTAGGACACATTACCCATTAGAGCACCAGACTTGTACCACATACAGATGTGTCCACCTAAGATGTGAGATCAGCAGCTTGTTAGATGGGCACAGTGTTTTACTTAAATGTTAGTAACAATGGTGATCTGATTAGGCGATGCATGTTTCTGATGTTAATAATCATAATTTCTTTTTTCCTCTCATTGTCCATGATATTTGGTATTTCTGATGGGATATTTTGAATGTACATGTCCTTGGCCTGCAATTAAGATGAAAAAGTCATGTAGAAGATATCATTTGGAAGGTACTTGTATAATCGCAAAGGATGTGATGGGGTAGGAAATACCAAAAGGAGGCAATGACAGGTGTACCAATGGTAAAAGAATAGTACCTGACAGCAAAATGGTTAGCTAGCAGAGA